TCTATAATATACATGGCTTCTCAAAGCCTAATTGCTGTTAGAACAACAGTAGGAGACTATGATAATGAGAGTCAATGAGTACGAGTATATAATAAGGTCATCCTGCAATTTGTGCACTGTTGCATGTAGATCGAGCACTGCATTGTATACAATGGTTGTACTTCGACATGTGCATGGTTATACTCTAGCTCCTAGTTATAATTATCTTGGCTATCATACGAAAAACATACGTGAGGTTTAATATGAGCGAGATTTGTAAGTTTTGCAACTCTCATCTATTAAATTTTCCAGACCTGTATATAAAATAAACAGTAAAACAATGATTACATCGTACATACCATACAATCTTTGTCGTTGCTTGTGTGCAGAACACTTGACAAATTACCAGGTAAAAGACTTAAAACCACGATGTAGTGCGCGGTGTGCCATTTGTTTAATATCATCAGTGTTTAGTATTTTTTTAAAATAATTTAGAATTCCGACCATTTATATGCGATGTACTTCATGTAAATTAAACTTTACGGCATTACGCCGACAGTTTCCGAATGCGTGACAATACTGTTTCAAACTGTTTCTGGATATAGATATCAAACATAATTTTATAAAACATGTTTGTTGAAACAGTTTAAATAAAATGCAAGCTAAATAAAGAAGTGTTGACAAGATACAAAACAAGACAATTTCACTAGGGTACCTGCAAGGTAGGGATTGCTGCGGGCATTAAAAGCAAATAGAACTACAGTAAAAAGCACAAATTATATCAAGCACAGTGATTACTCGTGCTCGCAGCGACTAGTGAGCTGTGAATGGAACTGAGAAGAAGCAATATATATTGAAGTAGCAAAGACAAGGGGTTAAAAGGCAATCAGAGGTGACAGATATTAAACATGTGCGTCTCATTGACATACAGGTAAATTAAGATCAGATTTCATATCAAGTCCGTTTACTGCTTGGCGCATTTACCACATTATATATAGACTATATACACAGATTTATCACACTAAGAAACCAAAACTTCATAAAAATATAGAACTGACAGTGGCCAAAGTCCAAAACAAACGTAAGCGTAACATTAGACTTGAAAAAGCTTTAGAAATTCGATAAAAATTCGAAGACTCGAGCGAGTTTAAAATTTGTGTTCTGCGCATAGAAAGCGCAGTGTACTTTGTGGTTGCGACATAATGACGTAATGTCAAATTTTCTATTGTTTTTAATGCACTTTTGAGGAACAAAAAAATCGCCTGCCCCATAGACTAAGGAACATTTGAAAAGGCAAATTCAGCCAGATTGGGAGAACATTAAGAGGAGATTTTTTTGTATGTTACGTAACACGCGCTCAAAACTAATGTGTATAATATATTAATATTAAATACCACTTGACGTTATGACTAAATTCAAAATTTTTATTTTTCGATACGTTTCTCAATCGGCAAACAAACTTAAAAAGTATGTTTAGTGCTTTATCTGTAAAATAATGTTAAAATGAAGAGATTTTAGATGATACGCCAAAGAGAAAATGATGTCTGAAGTTCAGGAAGTTATAGTGCTTATAATGGCTGTAAATATGGCGTCAATTTTAAAGCATCATTGATAATTGCATTTTAATTGACAATTTTAAACTATTATTTTATCTTTCTCAACCGGCAGATGCATTTAAAAAGCTTGCTAACTCTATAAACTACAAAATAAAGCTAAAACAAAGTAATTTTGAGAAGAACGCCAAACTGAGATTTTAGGTTTTGAACACTTTTCATTGGAAATATGTGACATTGAAAAAAATTGCCTCTTAAACATATTTTTTCAGGTCTGCATAAGTGGTCTAGAAAGGTTTTTTGCTCTCTGGTTGTTTTCTCAAAGGACAGTGATTGCATTCATTTACTTTAGGTCCTAAACCAGAACAGTGAAAACATATCTGATGCTTCAATGGACAACTTACATATTAGACTAAATTTTAATCTAAGTAAAGAGAAGGGAATCAAACACAACAGCTAAAAGGAACACAATGAAATTAGTAAAATTGCAAAATTTGGTTGCGAAATGATATAAAGCTTGGAAAATATAGCCTTGCAAATTTTGTATATGTTTATATTACGTGCGGAAATTGTTACCATCTTTGGCTCAAAAATGGTAACAATTTCCGCACGCAATACAAACATATACAAAATTTGGAAACTTTGCAAGGCTATATTTTCTGTATTTTACAACATTTCGTACTAACTAAATTTGGCAATTTTACTAATTTTAATAAGTTTTTTAACGGGAATTTACTTTTTTGCCTAGATCAAAAATTAGTCTAACATGCAAGTTGTCCATTTACCTTTAGTTTTATTCCAAGTTTGGATGAGCATTTCTCCACTAAACACGCTACATCGTTCACGTCCATTACACATCTTCACTCTCACAAGATATTCGACCGTAAGAAGCAGTCCAGTTAAAATGCCGTCAGTTCCAAGAGGCTTAACGATCGTTTTATTGTTCCACACAGGTTCAGAGAGATTCTTGTTCTCTCGCCATTCAATTATAAAAAGTCTCGGAAGTCCATTCCATTTGTCTTTTGGCGGCAACTAAAAGACGATGATCAAACGTGGTGATCCAGTGTATGTAGTTTTCTACACTATAAGCTGTCGTGATTTGTGTCTGAACTACCTGAAAAAGATATCTCAGACATGGTGATCCAGTGTAGGTAGTATTCTACAATAACTATAGCTGTCGTGATTTGTGTCTGAACTACCTGAAAAAGATATCTCAACTGACGTGGTGGTCCAGTGTTGTTAGTATTCTACAATAAGCTGTCGTGGTTTGTGTCTGAACTACCTGAAAAAGATATCTCAAACGTGGTGGTCCAGTGTAGGTAGTATTCTACAATATAAGCTGCCGTGGTTTGTGTCTGAACTTCCTGAAAAGATATCCCATGATCAAACGTGGTGGTGCAGCAGTGTATGTAGTATTCCGCTACAATAAGCTTTTGTGGTTTGTGTCTGAACTTCCTGAAAAGATATCTCAAACGTGATGGTCCAGTGTATGTAGTATTCTACAATAAGCTGTCGTGGTTTGTGTCTGAACTACCTGAAAAAGATATCTCAAACGTGGTGGTCCAGTGTAGGTAGTATTCTGCAAGATTTTCATGTATTTGAACAACCAAAATAAGATGGCATTGTCGCCAGTGTGATGCTTACTTGCCATCGTACAGTTCCATCTCGCCTTCTAGCATGTAGAACGACATCACACAAACTACACACTAGAACTGGGGACCTTGATGGAACTAAAATTAGAAATGATGTCATTATACTAGTACTGACAGTAAAGACAATAAAGAGAAATGAGAGATGCATAGTAGACTCTGATACATTTCTGAATTATTTATTTTTAATGTAAATTATTAGCTAACCGCCTTCTAAGGTTCTTTCAGTAAACGGTCCAGTTGCACTATGGGAAACGTCAGGCTGGTAATGACAAGACAGGCCATAATGGAATGTGACGGCATAGAAATAGTACTTGGTGTAAGGCAGAAGATTCCGGAGAATGATTGAACTTCGCTTTTGGTCGTCTGTTGTTGTGTCTTTTGACTAAATGAACAATAAAGAATTCGAAATTATGGACCGGATGATGATGGCACAGTTGTTAATTCCTTATGTAGTAAGAGATGATGTTTACTGGACCTCTAGAAAGAACAGTTTAGAACTGATAGAGCTATCCAGTATAAATAAAGTTAGTTTAGTTAGGTTGCCTCCTGTAGTAATACTGGATCAATAAGAGATGATCCTTACTGGACCCAGTCTAGAAAGAACAGTTTAGAACTGGTAGAGCTATCTAGTATAAACAAATTTAGTTTAGTTTAATTATGTTTTCTCCTGTAGTAACACTGGATCAATAAGAGATGATCCTTACTGGACCTCTAGGGAGAACAGTTTAGAACTGATAGAAGATAGAGCCATCTAGTATAAATAAAGTTAGTTTAGTTTAGGTTTCCTCCTGTATAGTAACACTGGATCAATAAAAGATGATCCTTACTGGACCTCTAGGGAGAACAGTTTACAACTGATAGAGTTATCATTATTTCACGCTACCTTATTCTCAGCTGAGTCACTATGATAGAGAAATGTCAAGCAATATGGAAACCTTGAACAAAATGACGGTGCTAGCTTCCAAGCCACTCGCACAGACGTTGACGTAAGCGCAGTTATAGTGATGTGCGGTATTTGATCAGGAGTGTCTGGAAAAGAAAGGAAACGTTTTAGCATAAATTGAACAAACTTTATTTATACTGGATAGCTCTATTAGTTCCAAACTGTTCTCCCTAGAGGTCCAGTAAGAATCATCTCTTATTGATCCAGTGTTACTACAGGAGGAAACATAAACTAAACTAACTTTATTTATACTGAATAACTCTATCAGTTCTAAACTGTTCTTCCTAGAGGTCCAGTAAGGATCATCTCTTATTGATCCAGTGTTACTACAGGAGGAAACCTAAACTAAACTAACTTTATTTATACTGGATAACTCTATCAGATAACGGAAATAGAACTGAGAGATGTGGGGTCCTTTGTTGAAATCTTGGGCTAATCTGAGGACAATACTGACATATACTGATATACTTACTTTCTAGTGATGGGTAGAAAACACGAACATTCTCAGTATTCTGTGGTGGTACGCCTCGAACCCTAATTTGAACTTCATAACCGAAGCCCTTCATTTCTGTGCACGTGAGAAACTCGCAACTAAACACATTGTCCATGTCAGTTTTGACAATACAGTGAGACTTTGACCAGTTTTGAGATTGCTCTGATCTGTAGTAGACATTGAACTGCGTTGATTTCAGAGAACATGAGTCTAATTGTTTCCAATAAACAGTTGAGTTGAAGTTCAAAACTCGTACACGAAACGAGTTGTAGATTACTACAGAGAAAGTTAAATAACAATTATTGCGGACAATTGAAAGACCATGGGCGTCGATCCTGGGGGGATGGGTGGGGGGGACGCATCTCTCCCAGTTTTTGGAGTGGGGAGACGAATATCTAATTATCACCCCACCCCACTTTTTCACATATTTAATGAAATTTTGTTTCTTGGCTATCTAAAAACCTAATACATAGTATGCTTTTCATCAAAAATTGTGATTGGAAGGAAGAAATTTAAGAAGAAGTACAATGTATAATCTTTCTGTAGTCGCTGGGAGCAAATACTGACATCGCATATGTTATGTAAAATTGTAAAAGTACTTAAAAATAATTGCCGCCCGCCCCCGGCGGGCCCGGGGCGGATTTAGACCGTTGCAACTGTAGCATATGCTAAGGTCAGATTTTCCATAGGCCAGTTCTAACATGGATCATAAAATAAACACCATCCTGGTTTTATCAGAGGGACATTTTTATACAGGGTGTCCTTTTCTTAAATAATATTATAGATTGTTAATAGTATGGACTGTCGGAATCATGCGTCTGCGGGCCGTGTGTAAAATATCAAAAAGGTTTGATCACCTTTTACTTTAAACAGCCGTAACACTGGTTTTACTCATCAGGGATGTGTTCTAGTAGGTCAATTTTAATAATCTTTGCCCCAGTGGTAATTTTTCAAAAACACTCTTGGTTTCCTCTAGTAGCAATACTGGATAAATAAGTGATAGTCCCGAGCTAAGAGAAGATGTTACTATCCAGTACAACTATTGCATTCTGTGTTTGAATAATTAGACCATATAAGCTTAGTACAAAAAAATTATTTTAATAACTACGTTCCGGAGTATAACTCCATCTTCAGGTTAATTAAAAGTAACTAAAAGATATAAAACTTTTAATAGAATGCGGCTTAGAGAAAGTTCCGTCATACAAGATTTGAAGAAACTTTGTTTGGACCAAACAATTATTGTATTCCTTACTTTGTCGAGAGGGTAAAACGAAAGGCCCAGTCGTCCAACGAGCTGCATCATCTATGGGGCACAGTCCGTCTTCATATGCGGTAAGATAGAATAAATAATTTGCAGAACAAGAATCCAATCCAGTCACTGAAGTTGAGTTCATGTTTTGAGATGGTATCGAAACAGACTAGAAGTAAACAAATAATCTTTTTCAGGTAGTTCAGACATGTACACAAATCATGAAAGCGGCTTATTGTAGAATACGACCTACACTGGACCACCACGTTTGAGATATCTTTTTCAGATAGTTGAGACACAAACCAGGACCGCTATATTGTAGAATTAGTAGAATACTACCTACACTGGACCAGTACGTTTGGGATATCTTTTTCAGGTAGTTCAGACACAAAATCACGGCAGCTTGTTGTAGAATACTACCTACACTGGACCACCACGTTTGGTCCGTTTGAGATATCTTTCATTTTCAGGTAGTTCAAACACAAACCACGACAGCTTAATGTAGAATGCTACCTACACTGGACCAGCACGTTTGAGATATCTTTTTCAGGTAGTTCAAACACAAACCACGACAGCTTATTGTAGAATACTACCTACACTGGACCGCCACGTTTGAGATATCTTTTTCAGGTGGTTCAGACACAAACCACGACAGCTTATTGTAGAATACTACCTACACTGGACCACCACGTTTGAGATATCTT